GCGGGGGTGCGGGGGGGAGGGCGATGAGCGGGGCGGAGGGACCGGCGGGACACCGGACCGGCGCAGCCCGCGCTGAGCGCCGCCCTCGCCCCGCAGGTACCGGCTGAGCCCGCGCGGGGAGCGGCCCCGCGGCCGCGTGGGACTCGGCTGCCTCCTCCTGCCCGGCCGCGTCCTGCTGCTGGGCGGTGCCGACCCCGCCGGGGCCTTCGCGGACGCGCATTTCGTGGAGCTGGGTGAGGGCCGGGCCGGGCAGGGACCGGGACCGGGGCCGGGACCGGGGCCGGTTCCGGGTCCGATCGCCTGTCGCCGTCCACAGCCCCGCTGCGCTGGGTCCCCGCCGGCTGGCGCGGACTGAGGCCGCGCTACGAGCACGCCACGCTGCTGTCGGCCAGCGGCCCCCCGCGCCTCTGGGTGTTCGGCGGAGCCCACCCCGCCGGGAACCGCGGCTGCGTGCAGGTGCTGGACCCCGGTGAGTGCCGCGGGCTGGGCTCGGGCCTGGCCTCCCTTCCCGTCGTGGTTGTCCGGTTAATGAACTGTCTTCACTAGAAATAGGAACGTGGGAGAGCCCTGCGGTGAGCGGCGAGCAGCCGCAAGCTCGGACATTCCACACGTCCTCGGCGGCCGTCGGGGCCCGGCTGTTCGTGTTCGGGGGAGGAGACAAGGGAGCGGAGCCGGTGAAGGACCGGCGGCTGCACGTGTTCGACACAGGTACCTCCCACCCGGGGGATGGAGCTGCCCTTGGCGGGCAGCCGGAGGGCTGGAATTGCTGAGCTCTCTTTGGAGTGGGTGGCCGTTCTTCTCTTGACAGGCCCTTGTGGTCACTGGGGATTCAGAGCCAGTGGCTTGGATGGGGCTCTGGGGCTGCTGGTCTGTAGAATTTCCAGGCTTTTCTTCCTAATGCACCTGTACTCCCCATTTTAGCCACCCTGACCTGGTCCCAGCCCGAGACTCGTGGTGAGCCCCCTTCTCCTCGGCACGGGCACGCCGTGGTTGCAGTTGGGACCAAGCTCTTCATCCATGGAGGTTTAGCTGGAGATGTTTTTTACAATGACCTGTTCTGCATGGATACCAGTAAGTGTGGATGGAACAGGCAGGGCAGTGCCTGTGAGCTGTGCTTTGATCTGGGCAGACATTTTTGTTCTGAAATACTGGTTCTTAAGTGCTTAAAGTATTACCTGCTTTGTTTAAATCAACAAAATGCCTGGGGTTTGTGTAATGCACAGCCGTGGACGTGTTGTTTCCTGCACCAGGTGACATGAGGTGGGAGAAGATCCTAGCCACTGGGGACGTCCCTGGAGGACGGGCATCCCACTCCTCGGCAGCCTTCCAGGACCACTTGTACATTTTTGGTGGAATAGGTCCAGATGGGACACTGGATACCACGTACAAGTATCACACAGGTAGGGAGGCTGCTCTCAGGGAAGATGCCAGGCAGCTGGGGAACACGTTACCTGCTCCAGCCCTGGGCTTCCCTGGAGTTACACCACTGCAGGACTGAATGCTGAAAACCTTGAGTTCATGGTGCCAGTGCCTGGTGTGTGATGTTTACAGCTGTGGCTCTATCTTTGCACTGCAGGGAGGCAGCACTGGACGCTCCTGCAGTTTGAATCTCCCCTGCCCAGCGGGAGGCTGGACCACGCCATGTGTGTCATTCCCTGGCAGGCACACGGGGACACAGGAGACACCCCAGCTGGGACAGAGGCACCTGTGGCAGCAGGTGACAGGGCTGAGCCCCTGCAGCCCCTGGGAGAGGGCTGTGCTGAGGACACCTTGGTCCATCTGCTGTTCGTGTTCGGGGGCATGGACACGCAGGGGCAGATCCACAGGGACTGCCTGGTCACCCTCATCCAGTAGAGTCCCTACAGCACCAGCCTCATCCCCTGGGGTTAATTGTGCCCCCTAGACTCCTCCTTACCCTCGGGGAGCTGGCACGGTGCTGACACCCCCGAGGGACAGGGGCTCTGCCTGAACAGGGTCCTGCTGCAGCCCCAGCCCAGGGAACATGGCAGGAGCCAGGCTGGAGCTGGCACCAGACAAGGTCATTCTGGACTTAACTAATCCCATGGATTGGATAAGGATCAGTTAAATAAAGAGACCAAATTTCAGTTACACTTCTTTTTTTCTAAGAACCTTTATTAGGTGTAAACTACTTTTCACTGTTCAGAAAATGGTCTGTTTCATATGACACTTTATTAAAAGCTCTGAAGTTTTAATACTGCAGGAAAACATAATTAAGCCAAGCTCCTCCCTCACTGCTGGGCACCACCACTCCTGCAGGCAGTGGGTGCTGGTGGATAACCTCCCTCTCCCAGCTCAATAAAAGCTGCCCCTTCAGCAGTTACTCAGCCTTGATCCCCCTTTCCTTATCAGGATGTTGTAAAACTGCACTGAGGTCCAAGTCCACCCTCTCCCTTCAGAAACTGAACCCCAGCTCAGCCCAAGGCAACAGAGGCCCAGCTCCTGCTTTCAAACCTCCCACTCTCCATGAGCCCATGAAAGGTGACCTTGAGGGGGTGAGCTGCACTCCATCCTTCTTCAGGGTTAATCCAGATCCTGGCTGGAGCCGGCTACTGGAGATCACAGAACCAGAACAGAGTCCAGTGTAAATAACAAATTTATTGTGGTCACTCCAGGTAGAAAAGCTCTACACCAAGTTCACATGACCAAGTTGTTAAATAGAATGTTCCACTGCCAATACTTCTAAACCCACATTTACAGTCCCACCCCACTCCCCTCCCCAGACATCGAGCAACTGCTAACGAAAAGCAGGATACAGCCACGTCGGGCTAGCGGTTCCAGCTCCACTCACGAGTGAAGATTCAAAGTTACATTCCAAATTAAGAGTTCAATATTTTAACAAGTGTTCCTGAGTCCAATATATACACACACCACATTTGGAGGCACCGGTATCTACAACTCGTCCTTCTCTGCCGCCTCCTCCTCGCCGGGCGGGGGGCCGGCGCTGCCGTACAGCTTGCTAACGATGGGCTGAACCACCTCCTCCAGCTCCTTCTTCTGTGCTTTGAAATCTTCTATGTCCCCATCCTGATGGCTTTCCAGCCACTCGATCTTTTCCTCCACTGCTTTCTCTATTGTTTCCTTGTCCTCGGAGGACAGCTTCCCACCCAGCTTCTCCTTGTCCCCGATCTGATTCTTCAGGGAATAGGCGTAGCTTTCCAGCTCATTCCGGGCATCGATGCGTTCCTTCAGCTTCTTGTCTTCCTCGGCAAACTTCTCAGCATCATTGACCATCCTCTCGATCTCCTCTGGCGTCAGCCTGTTCTGATCGTTCGTGATGGTGATCTTGTTCTTGTTGCCGGTGCCCTTGTCCTCGGCCGTGACACGGAGGATCCCGTTCACATCGATTTCAAAGGTGACCTCGATCTGGGGGACACCACGAGGGGCAGGGGGGATTCCCGTGAGATCAAAGGTGCCCAGGAGATGGTTGTCCTTGGTCAGGGGACGCTCACCTGCAAGAAACAATGAGGCAGGGTTACCCTCTTCCCCAGCTGTGGCCTGTACTTTGTGAAACCATGAGTGACACAGTTCCATGAACAAAGTACCTACAGCCTTTGTGACAGCAGACAAATTGCAGCTGTCACATGGGCCACCACAGCTGACACCCACCTTCATAGACCTTGATGGTCACAGTTGGCTGGTTGTCAGAAGCTGTGGAGAAGATCTGAGACTTCTTTGTGGGAACAACGGTGTTCCTTGGGATCAGCTTGGTCATGACACCTCCAACGGTCTCAATGCCAAGAGTCAGGGGACAGACATCGAGCAGCACCAAGTCACCTGCAGCAGATCAAAGGCAAGACTGTGACACAACTTCAAAACAAAACACAATGCTGCAGACAGGATCCTGAGGCCTTGGGGGCACAGAACTCCAAGGACTGGAGAAGATCCAAGTTGGTCTGGATTTGCTTGTCAGTGCCCAACATCCGCTGTTGGGTCAGCTCTTAGGTGGCAGTGAAGGTGCCCTTACCTGTATCCTGGTCCCCAGAGAGCACCCCGGCCTGCACAGCCGCGCCGTAGGCCACAGCCTCGTCTGGGTTAATGCCACGAGAAGGCTCCTTCCCATTGAAGAACTCTTTAACGAGCTGCTGGATTTTGGGGATGCGAGTTGATCCACCAACCAGGACAATCTCGTCAATATCAGACTTCTTCAGGTCAGAATCTTCCAGAACTTTCTGAACAGGCTTCATAGTGGAACGGAACAGGTCCTGCAAAGACAAAACCCCAGGGACTGTGAGACTGTATTCCCAGCACACCCCATTGTGTGGCCCCAGAGGTACAAAGTACCACCACTACAGAGCAGACATGCCAAACTGTCTGAGGCCCAGCTCCCTGGCAGGCAACAGCTGCCTGCTTCCACAGAGTTATTTATACTCCAAAGTGCAATGTCACTGCACGAGATGCTGCACATTCCCCAGTCCCAGTCCAGAGCTGAGGCTGTGTAACTTTACCTTTCTAAACTTACCATGTTCAGCTCCTCAAACTTGGCTCGAGTGAGTGTCTCCGAAAAATCTTCTCCTTCAAAGAAGGACTCTATTTCAATCCTGGCCTGGTGCTGAGATGACAAAGCTCTCTTGGCCTTCTCCACCTCCCGCCTCAGCTTCTGCACAGCTCTGTTATCCTTCCTAACATCTTTGCCAGTCTTCTTCTTGTAGAGCTTGATGAAGTGCTCCATAACACGCTGGTCAAAGTCTTCTCCACCCAGGTGAGTGTCACCATTAGTAGCCACAACTTCAAAGACTCCGTTGTCAATTGTGAGGAGGGACACATCAAAAGTTCCACCGCCCAGGTCGAACACAAGGATGTTCTTCTCTCCCTCTCTCTTGTCCAGTCCATAAGCAATGGCAGCAGCTGTTCTGTACAGGGAACAGGCTGTGAGGGCTGGGGTGCCAGCCCACAGCTGCCCTGGGCAGGACAGGGAGGGTACTCACGGCTCGTTGATGATCCGCATCACGTTGAGCCCCGCGATGGTGCCGGCGTCCTTGGTGGCCTGGCGCTGGGCATCGTTGAAGTAGGCTGGCACCGTGACAACAGCGTGGGTCACCTGAGCAGGGAGGGACAGAAAGTTACAGCAATGACAGAAAAAGCAGTCTGTAAGCAGTACCAGCCACTCTGAGCAGTGCTGGAACAAGCAGCCCATCTTCAGAGATGAAGAGCCAGCACCAGCTTAGCCCACCAGACAGGGCTGCTGGAGGGGCCTGCAGCACTGACTGCAGTTTGGGATGGCAAGGTCAGTCCTGGCTCAGCCTCCCCTTCTCCCATTTCCTAAAGCTGCCAATCCAAGTCGTTACCAGTGTTTCCTGTGTACTTACTTTCTTCCCCAAGTAAGCCTCTGCTGTTTCCTTCATCTTCGTCAGGACCATTGCAGAAATTTCTTCAGGAGCAAATGTTTTTGTCTGTCCACCTCCAACATCAACCTGAATATGAGGCTTGGCTTTCTTCTCAACCACCTGAGGAGAACAATGCATACTGTCCCATTCAACTACTCCAACTTGTTCCCATGGTTCTTTCTAAACATCAAACATCAAGCAAACATCAAGCATAACCTGAGTGCAGCTAACACCAGGAACTGCTGTTTACACACCAATCCTCCTGAGGTCGCTGGGAGCAGATTCCTTTTCTGACCACAACTGTAGGCCCTCCCCTCCAGCCGCCCCACCTCTGCACTCGGGGCCCACCTTGAAGGGCAGGTACTTGATGTCCTGCTGCACGGAGGGGTCGTTCCAGGTGCGGCCGATGAGCCGCTTGGCATCGAATACGGTGTTCTCCGGGTTGGACGTGAGCTGGTTCTTGGCAGCATCCCCGATCAGGCGCTCCCCCTCGGGGGTGAAGGCCACATAGGACGGCGTGATGCGGTTCCCCTGGTCATTGGCGATGATTTCCACGCGCCCGTTCTTGAAGACGCCCACGCTGGGGTTGGGGGGGAGCGGAACAGTCAGGCGGGGCCGCGGCCTGCACACATCCCCCCCCGCCTTCCCTTCTGCTCCTCCCTGCGCCCACCCGGGCCCGCAGCCCCTTCCCGGGGCCCGGCCTCCCCCGCGCTGCCCACCGGCCCGGCCGGCCCCCCGCGCCCGTCCCCACGCACCAGGAGTAGGTGGTGCCCAGGTCGATGCCCACCACCGTGCCCACGTCCTCCTTCTTCTCCTCGTCGTCCGCGCAGACGGCGCCCAGCGCCAGCAGCGTCAGCAGCAGAAGCCTCATACCGACCGCTCGCCCGCGCCCACCTACCGAGAGCCCGCCGGTTACACAACGGAGACGCCACGTGCGCGGCCGCCCCCCTCACCCCTCCCCGCAACCACCCAGCCCCCGCCGTGCGGAATGGCCCCCCGTCCCCGCCGGATCCTTCCGTGTCCTCAACCGCCATCCCCCCCGCCCCGTCCGCGGCCCAGCCCGAACCGCGCCCGGCCCTCACCGTGCAGAAACGCCGCGCCCCGATCGCCGCTGAGCCGCCAGGCCGCGCCGCCCGCCCTTTTATACCTTCCGTTACCCCTTCGTGGAGCCTCCCCATTGGCTGCCGCGCCCTCGCTGGAGCCTCTCCATTGGCCGGCTGCTACCAAGCTGGCCTCCCGCGATTGGCGAGCACCGCGCGCCGGCTCCGCCGTGCCCGGCGCGCCCCCCTCGCGCCGCCCCATTGGTTCCACCCGCCGGCCGCGGCCACAGAGAAGCGTGAGCCAAGCGGAGCGTCCCCATTGGCTGGGCGGGACCACGGCCGCGGGGTGGGGGGGCACTTCTGGAAGTTTCCATGGTTACCGGCCGGGGGGAAATAACCCGCCGGTGGGGGGGGGCGCCGCCGCTCCCGGGGGCACCGGGGGTACGGGCGGTACCGGGGCACGGCCGGGAGGGAGGTGCGGGGAGGTTGGAACCGGGCCGGCATCATGGCCGGGCCGCGCGGGGTCTCCGGGCAGAGCCCCGTCCCGCCCCCCTCGGGGATGAGGTGACACGCGTGTGCCCGGCGCCCCGAGGCGACACCGGGACCGTCCCCGGGCAGCCGCTGCCCGCCGGTCGGGAGGCCCCGCCATGTCGCGACACCAAGCCCCGCACGCACAAGCCGGGGCCGGGCGGAGCCGGGGCTGACGGCGGAGCGAAGCTCCGAGAGCCGCCCCGGCTCCGCCCGGCCCTCGCCCCGCTCCCGGTGCCGGCCCCGGGACTACAAGTCCCAGGAGCGCCGCCGCCGCCTGCGCAGTGCCGCGCCCGCCCGGGCCGCAGCGGGAGCCGCCGGGGCGCTGGCCGGGTAGGGACACGCTCGAATCCCGCGACAGCGCTCGGCTTCCTCCCCCCGAGGAGGAGGAGGAGGAGGAGGAGGGAGCGGTGGGAGGAGGAGGAGGAAGGCCCGCGGCCTGTCAAAACCCTTTGGCTTTTCCAGGGAAGCGAGAGGGAAGGCGGGCAGCCGAGGAGAGACGGAGCCGAGCAGGGTATGTCGGGTGGGTTTGTCGCGACAGGGAGGCGGCGGCGGCAGAAGTTGTTGCGCGGTTTGCTGCGGGTCCCTCCGTGCCCGCGCGCCCCGGGCCGGCGCGGGCACGGCGCTCCCGGTGCGCCGGGGCCCTGCGGCCGCCTCTCCTCCGCGGCTTTTGTGTCGTGCGCGTTTAAAACTCGAAACTTGACCGGCGCCGTGACTTCCCTTTTCGGTTACTCGCAGAGCCCCAACGCCGAGAGCTCGATGCGGGCGCTGTCGGGTTTTTGTTTTTTTTTTTTTTTTTCTTGCAAAGTCACGATCCCGCTGCTGGGAGCGGGGACGGGGCTCTGGCAGCGGGCGTGTGACGCTACCCTGACCCATAGCTGAAGGGCTCCCGAGCAGAAGCTGCGCTTTGAAGAGGATGGAGGGGGAATGGCACCGGCACTACGGGAAATCTGAAATACTCAGCACAAGTAGCAGGATGGTGGCTTCAGGAAACACTTTTCAGCCGCTGAGGGGGGTGTTCTAAAATACTTAAGATGCTCAGCGCACGGGTTTTGGTGTGATGTTTGTCAGGTAATGGGGAATATGCTCTCCTGGGTAGCAGCTGCCCTTCCTGGTGGATGGGGAGGGAGCTGCTCTCAGGAGAACAGGTTGGTTTTGTCAGTCTGAGCAGCTTCAAGTTCTGCACTTGTTCTGACTAAAAGTTTATTAGAGTGACCCTCACCTAAAGGGAACTCCACTTTCTGGCATCACAAGCAACTGGAAGAGATTTTAGCCTGGTTATGTGCTTTTGTTGATTCTGTGCAACATGGCAATGCCAGAATAGATGGCATTGGTGATGCCATAATTTAGTAGGCAGCTGATCCTGTGCTTTACTGAGGAGTTCTGTTATGGGGCAGCAGAAATGAGGTTCTCCTCGCGTGGATGGACAGTGTGTCCAGGGCTAGCTGAGAGCAGGCTCTGGGCAGAAACAAACATGAGGGATGACTTTCTCATTAATGACAATTAGTGGAGCTGCATTTTGTGTGTCACACGCGTGTTTGGGCTGGTGGGTGCTGCAGTGTGAGGGTTCACAGTGAGCCCTAGGTCATGGTGAGCCATCCTGCTGAGAAAGGGCTCTTAGCTCTGCTGGGGACATGGGCAGTTAGCTTGTGTCAAGGAGTAAAGCTGGTGAGAGGCTGCTGTAAATACCAATGAGCAAAGAGGTACTTCATCAGGGCTCAATTAGCTTGGAAGCCATTCAGCCTTGCTTAGGAGTTATTTTTCAGCAGGATGGAGTGATTTTGCCTTGCCCTGCCCTGCCCACCTTAGATGTGCCCAAACTTGCTCTGGAAGTTGTCTTGCATAGCGAGACTCAGGAGGAGCAAGTAACCCTGAGCAGGAAACCTGGGAGGAGGAAGAAGGATCTGGTGTACCAGCAGTATTTACCACTTTACTTAATCTCTTTTCTGTCAACTGAATCACAGAAATATGCAGGAGAGATGTGGCTCGTTCCTGTATGCCACAGGACAAACCCACGGACATTGGAAGGTGGAGTTCAGCACCTGAAGATTCAATGTTGTGTTCTCCAGGACTTTCCAGAGTGGGAAGCAATCTGTGTCCTGTGTTCTTCAAAGGACAGACTGCCCCGGGTTCTGAGCAAATGTGTGCTGCCAGCAGGGCAAGGCATCCCGGGTGCTGTCAGGTCATGCAGGCTTTGTTGTTGATATGTGGAGCATCATGAAGGGAGATTGTCTGAGTTGTTGTGCTAAGCTGCTCTGACTGTGCCACAGTTACTTGTAGGTTCCTGAGTAGCCTTGAAACAACTGACAGAAAATGGAAATGTTTCCACATCAACATGAAATCCCAGGACTGAAAAGTAATCTGCACATAGCACAGTTTTACATATCTGTTGTTCCTTCAGCCACAGCAGGCTACTGGATATCTAAATATCCTAAAGTGACTCCTTTATATAGCTGTGTACAGATATCTGCTATTCCAGGTGTGGTGCGTGGCAGTCATAAACCAGATTGCTGGATAATTACAGGCACCTTTTTGTTTATGAGCAGCTGATAAGGTAATCTGACAAAGGAGGAATCAGCAGAGGCTCTGCTCCAGAGCTGTTCCGTGGCATGTCACTGAGGGTTGGCTGTGACCAAGTGCACCTTGTGGAGCCTGGTCAGAGGATGCAGCTGCTGTCTTTTTGCACTGCTGTAAAGGGAAGAGGTTTTGGGGAGGAGCAGTGTGTGTCAGGTAGGTGTGTTGGTGGTACAATAGTTTCTTCTTTCAGGACAAGCTGTGTGCATCTTGCCCAACTGGGTTTTTGGGTTTTCTTCCCTGAGCCTTGCTGAAGTACATTGTGTGTCAAACTGCTGCTTTACATCTCTGCTCTTCTCAGGTGTCTGCCAGGGACCTCAGGTAAGGACAGAGTTGTTTGTGCTCTTGCTTGCTGTGCATGTGTGGCTTCAGAATAATTCCTTTACAAACTGGTGGAAGGCAGTGATGAGGTGTTCCTCTCCTCAGAGCTGGATCCCAGCAGCAGTCCTTGCAGTCGAGCCACTTTGATTTTTATGGAGGTTACCAAGCTGGGGAAGCTGCTGATCCTGTTTTCTTGCACACAGAGTGAAAGCTGCTGTCATGCAGTTGTCCTGTGGATTGACAGAAAATCCTGTGGATTTTCACAGCTCTTGACAAAGCAGTGGCAAACAGTAGCCTGCTGTGGCTCAGTTCTGAATCAATCCTCTTGCTTTTGTTATTTCTGGTGTTCTGCAGCTGAGGCAGATAAGACACACACGTGGGTAGTGGCCAACTGATGGGATGTTATCAGGTAGTCACAGGAGCAGTATATTTAGCAGCACAGATGCAGCTGAGGGTGCTCTTTGGAGCCTTGTTTTAGGCCTGGAGCTCAGAGAGGCAGTCAGTTTAAAAGGAAAAATCAGAATTTACATCAGTTGGCAACTTCCCCTGGCTTCTCAGGGCCTCGGTGTCTGCTCTTCGTGAGGAGGTGCCCAAGTTGTTCTTCTGTTGGGTGCTCACCTCACCTTCCAAGCAGGGGTGAGGTTTCTGCTGTCAGTGTTTTTCAGGTGACATCACAAATGCTACAATAGTCTGACCTCTTTTGCTGGGCAGGTGGATTGATGTGTGTGTGACAGGCTCTGCACTGCGTGCACTTCTGCTGCCAGGGCTTTTGGAGCTTGCTCTGACCCGTGGGCAGAGGAGGAAGGAGCAGAGCATCTTCCTCAGAGGCTTCTTAGGGAGCTTGGCCCATCCCTGGTGCTGGAAACATCTTCTCCAATAAATAAAAACAGAAAAGGACCCTAAGTGAAACTGAGAGAAATTGATTGTAAGTGTAGGAAACACCTCAGGAGCTTGTCTGCTCCTAAATGGGTTTGTTACCAGTGACACAAAAATAGAGACTTGTTTGGGCAAAACAAAGGCATTGGGCTGCAGGCAGAGGCACCAGGCTGTTCCTAGGGGTGCTCCTTGTGGGCCTCCCCTTCCTTCCCAAACTCTTAGAAGCAGGAGATCCACTTGGAGTGACTTTCTGTCCAGGAAAGTGGAGGCTGTGGGCTGACACCTGAAAGTGGAAAATGCCAACTAAAACTGTTCAGTTTGATCAAATATGAGCAGCTTTTGAGCACAGCCCTACGGTGGGATGCTCTGAAAAGGCAGAAGGCAGCTCTGCAGGTCTTGTTTGTGTGTGTTTTTATGGATTCAACTTCTTTTTCCAGGCTGACAGCACTAGCTCACAGCCTAAAACTGGTTACTACTGTGTTTGCAGGCAGTAGCAAGTTTACTGCTGGTTTTAAGGGGTTTTTTTTTTGCAAGCTCTTAAATTCTGAGACTAAAAATAAATTTGTTGCAAGAAGTTATTATTTGTTTCACAAAGAAGTTTGGCAGTAACAGCAATGTTTCTTCTTCTAATCATTTCTCTGAGACTGTCCTAGTTAAAAACATCTGAATTAGCACATCCTTCAAGTTCCTGTCGCAATCTCGTTTTTGGATCATCAGCTGTAGCCTCTGGTCAGGATTGCTGAATTTGGTTTGGGGTCTTTTTGAGTTTGGGGTTTTTATAAAGACCCAGTTTTCTGTGTTTACTAGGAATGGCCTTTAAATCTTTGAGTGTAATAAAACTGCAATTTTTTAATGCATTGTGACAGCTTCTCTGTTCGTGTCTGCCTGGCTCCTGGTTGTGAGGTTAAAACTGTAGATGAAAGGACTTAATTACACAAGCAGCAGTGATGGTTGTCAGTGCACCTGGCTGTCAGGCTGTAAAACCCCAACAAATGGGAAACCTGTGCCTAATTAGGGAGCTAATCTGTATTCTTCAGCGAGGATCACCTCCTCCTCTGCTGAACAGTGAAACACAGATCTTTAAAACACTAGCAGGGGAGAGCACTGGGCCAGCACGTGCTATTCTGGCACATTTTTTGTATTTTCTCAAGCTCTAAATGGGTTTGTGACAAGCAAGGCTTGTCCAGAGTCACTGCAGGTTGTGGGAAGTAAGTTTTTATTTTGACTGTAGTATTGCTACATTGAGGGTTTCCTCACTAGAGCCCTCTGACATCTCCATTACTGATACACACAACAGGTATATTATGGTCTGTCACAGGTGATATCTGCCTCAAACCCTTGTCCTTCCCAAATTAGCTGGTGTGCCTGTTAGTTAGTTCTGGTGGGGAAGACATAAAGCAGTTAACCATCAATTCCATGATCTGCAGATTGTACCTCTTTCTTCCTTTGTCAGTGTTAATGCACTTGATGGGGTTTTTCCTCCCAAACAGTTGATTTTTAGATGGATTTGCTCCTGGAATGTGTCTTGTCTGGTGCAGTACTCTGCTGAGATGTTTTGTAGTTGTGAAGTTAAGACTGATATTACATTCCTACAGAACAGAAGTTCGTGTAGATTTTAGCCCTGATGTGCTATGAAAGCCTATGGTTGTTTCAGTTTTTCTCTCTATAAAACAACATTTTTGGATCATGGCCCAAAGAAATATTCTTCTGAATTGAAATATTTGAGGATTTTTTTTCTGAATGAATTCTACTGTTGGGCAAAGTCTCTAAACTTATTTCCAACTCCTGCCGTATCTGGGTATTGATACTCCTTCGTTTGTGATTTGGTTTGTGATTTGGTGATTAGTAATATTGTTACTATTATTATTTTTTAGCAGAAAAGAGCAGCATTGGGAACTTGGTGCTTCTGGTGCATAGGTGAGAGAGGTAACAGGCCAGAAATTCCAACACCCAGGTCCTTGGGCAGTGCTGGGCTATGGGGATGGGCTGTAGGATGAAGGAGTCTGTTCCCCAGACAGTGAGTGGGAATGGGGGCTGAGCTTGTGTCACCTGAGCTGCAGCCAGGGCCACGTGTCCCCAGGTGAGGCCAGGTGTACCTGAGGTGTGGCAGGGCTGTGCTCCTGTTTCTGCTTGTCAGGATGAGCTGAAAATACCATCAGCTTCTCTGCCAGTGTCCCTGCTGTGTGACACACCATGGAACTGGCACTGGAACCTTGCATGGAGAGCGTGCCTGAGTGCAGGGTGGGGGTTTGAGGAGGGGCACAGCAGCGTTCCCTGCCTGGGCTCAGCCTGTGCCTGCTGCCCTCCACAGGGTTGGCAGGGCTCAGGGTCAGCCTGTGCCCTCTGCCCACTGCAGGGCTGGCAAGACTCGGGGTCAGCCTGTGCCCGCTGCCCTCCATGGGGCTGGCAGGGTTCAGGGTCAGCCTGTGCCCACTGCAGGGCTGGCAGGGCTCAGGGTCAGCCTGTGCCCACTGCAGGGCTGGCAGGGCTCAGGGTCAGCCTGTGCCCGCTGTCCTCTGCAGGGCTGGCAGGGTTCAGGGTCAGCCTGTGCCCTCTGCCCACTGCAGGGCTCGGGCTCAGCCTGTGCCCTCTGCCCTCTGCAGGGCTGGCAGGGCTCGGGGTCAGCCTGTGCCCACTGCGGGGCTGGCAGGGTTCAGGGTCAGCCTGTGCCCGCTGCCCTCTGCAGGGCTGGCAGGGCTCGGGGTCAGCCTGTGCCCACTGCGGGGCTGGCAGGGTTCAGGGTCAGCCTGTGCCCGCTGCCCTCTGCAGGGCTGGCAGGGCTCGGGGTCAGCCTGTGCCCACTGCGGGGCTGGCAGGGTTCAGGGTCAGCCTGTGCCCGCTGCCCTCTGCAGGGCTGGCAGGGCTCGGGGTCAGCCTGTGCCCACTGCGGGGCTGGCAGGGTTCAGGGTCAGCCTGTGCCCGCTGCCCTCTGCAGGGCTGGCAGGGCTCGGGGTCAGCCTGTGCCCACTGCGGGGCTGGCAGGGTTCAGGGTCAGCCTGTGCCCGCTGCCCTCCGTGGGGCTGGCAGGGCTCAGGGTCAGCCTGTGCCCGCTGCCCACTGCAGGGCTGGCAGGGCTTGGGGTCAGCCTGTGCCCTCTGCCCTCCGTGGGGCTGGCCGGGCTCGTTCCCTCCCCGTGGGGCTGAGCCGCTCGCTCTGCGTGCAGGGGCTGTGGCACCATGGTGAAGCTGGACATCCACACGCTGGCCCACCACCTGAAGCAGGAGCGGCTGTACGTGAGCTCGGAGAAGCAGCTGATCCAGCGGCTCAACGCCGACGTGCTGAAGACGGCGGAGCGGCTCTACCGCACGGCCTGGATCTCCAAACAGCAGCGCATCAACCTCGACAGGCTCATCATCACCAGGTATGCACCCCCTGCTGCCGTCTGCTCCTCATCCTCACAGCCTGCAGGCCTTGGCTGGACTCAGCAGAAAAACGTGAGGCTGCAAATCCAACCTCAGCTGGGGAATCTTACACCAAAAGTTACTTGTTGGCCGTTGAAGCAATTATTTTTTTAATACCTGTGGTTTTTTTGCTTCTGTTCATGGGGAAAAGCTATCCAGAATTTGCAAATAATTTGTAGTAACTATCTGGAAAGACTTTTTCCTCTGTGGCAGCCTGGTTAATAGATAGATCCCGTGGCATCTCTTAGCAGGTTTGTTTACTTAAGAGTTACTTAAAGTGTTTCAATGTTTTTCTTTAAAGTGCCGAAGCTTCTCCCGCTGAATGTTGCCAGCACGCAAAAATCTTGGAGGACACGCAGTTTGTGGATGGGTACAAGCAGTTGGGATTCCAGGAGACTGCTTATGGAGAATTCCTGAACAGACTGAGAGAGAACCCCAGGCTTATTGCGTCCTGCCTGGTGGCCGGAGAGAAGCTCAACCAGGACAACACCCAGGGTGTCATCCACACGGTCTTCACCTCCATCTATGGCAACTGCATCATGCAGGAGGACGAGAGCTACCTGCTGCAGGTGCTGCGCTACCTGATTGAGTTTGAACTGAAGGAAAGCGACAACCCCAGGCGGCTGCTGAGACGAGGCACCTGTGCCTTCAGCATCTTGTTCAAGCTCTTCTCTGAAGGACTCTTCTCTGCAAAACTTTTCCTTACTGCTACCTTACATGAGCCAATCATGCAGCTTCTGGTTGAGGACGAAGACCACCTGGAAACCGATGCGAACAAGTTAATTGAGAGATTCTCCCCAGTACAGCAGGAAAAGTTATTTGGAGAGAAAGGCACAGAAAAGTTCAAGCAGAGAGTCCAAGAGATGGTTGACTCCAACGAGGCCAAGCTGGTGACCCTGGTGAACAAATTCATTGGCTATCTCAAACAAAACACGTACTGCTTTCCTCACAGCCTGAGGTGGATCGTGTCGCAGATGTACAAGACGCTGTCGTGCGTGGACAGGCTGGAGGTTGGAGAGGTCAGAGCCATGTGCACAGATCTCCTTCTGGCCTGTTTCATCTGCCCTGCCATCGTCAACCCCGAGCAGTACGGCATCATCTCTGATGCCCCTATCAACGAGGTGGCAAGATTTAATCTGATGCAGGTATGATTCACAGTAAGGCAGCCTTAAAAATACGTAAATGGCATTTTTCTTCCCTCTAGAACTGATGCTACTACGGTGAAAGTGAAGGTACTGTCTCTCCTGCTCATAAAATGAATGCTAACGAAATATCTGTGTTAATTGTTGCTGAAAAGGCAGGCTCCAAAGTGTATCTGTTTGCTTAAAATACTGACTTGAAAAAATTGACAGCATGTATTCCTGTACCCCTGAGAAGAGTTGCAAATATCCTTTATAAAAGCTGTTTTTAAGGGATGGAAGCTAAGGCATAAAAATGACTAGGAGATGAATTCTGGAATGTGTGAAAAAAAATGTTATGCTGCTCTTGCAAATGTTAAATATTATACCAGGTATTGCAAAAAATAATGAAATACTTTGTTGGAAACCCCTTGCTGCCTGGCAGTAATGTCCAGTGCTCTACTTGGAGCATTCCCCAGCCCTCGTGACCAGTTTTTGTCATTATGCAAACACTTGGACAATGTAATGATATTACATAGAGGAGTCATCTGAAGGTGTTGAGCAACACTTGTCTGACTGAGAATGTTGCTCCACGTGAGGAAGAAAACCTGCTTTTTACTGTTGTCTATAAAGTGGGCAGGCAGTGATCCTTCCAGTGCAATCACTGAGTTTGCTCAGTGTTTCTCTAAAATCCAGCAGCAATCCTCTCCTGTCACTGCTCACGTGCTGTAGCAGAGCAGCTGGCAGCTCTTTAAATTGAGGGTTGCTTTGCAGTTGGAGATGAATAAGGGATATGTGCTCTGAAATAAGGGTTAGCCCTCCTGCTATTTCTCCTTAGTAAAATATATGCAGCCTTTGAAAATCTCTAGGTTTAGATGACCTAGATTCAACTCTCAATTCTGACGTGTTGCAAAAACAAAACATGCTTTGTTCCTGGGAGGGGGAAGTATGGATGGTCACAGCCTACTGTGTGTGCACATTTTCTTGTTAAAGGCAGTGACTGCTTTTTTTTTCCTAAAGCTTCTTGCATTTTTTTCTTCCCTGAAAGCAAGCACACATCTCTGTCCACTCAATCAGAAGTATTCCTTGGAGTATTAAATGAAAAAGGATTTAGAATGGAGGAGGTCTTTTGAATATTTTTTGTGATCAGGTCCATCATGGTATGAAAGGCTTATTCTGTGTACTTCTTTTTGATTTCAGGTTGGGAGACTTCTGCAGCAGCTGGCAATGACAGGCTCTGAGGAGGGAGATCCACGTACAAAGAGCAACCTCGCTAAATTTGACAAAGTAAGAATCCAGGCTGAGAAAATCCAAGGCTTGGTGAATACATCATCATCCTTCTGCAGCCTCTTTCTCAGACTTTGCAAAGGACTTACTATGTGTTTAATTTTCAAGTTGAATGTAATGAAAAGCAGATTAAATCCTGCACAAAGCTGGGGAAAAAAATCTTGAATACTAGATTTAAGAGTTTGGGAGTCTTGCTTCTACTCTGACCTAATACTCCTTAAAAGAAAATATTTTTAAAAATTAAATTAAATGGTATTTTCAACTGAGCACTGTAAGTGTTCAAGGCCAGACTGGACAGGGCTTGGAACAACCTGGTCTAGTGGAAAATGTCCCTGCCCATGATGGGGGTTGGCACTGGAGGGTCTTTAAGGTTCTTCCAACCCAAACCACTCTGTGATTCTGTGAAATACTGAATTCCTGTCTGTGGTTTTTCAACTGAATCTAAAAAAATGCTTTGATCTGAAAACAGCCTTAGTATAACATCTAGTAATTTCTTAGTGCAAGTAGCTTCTCTTTCTTTTTTGCCTAGTTTTGCTTTTTTTATTCAGCTTTTCCTGTTAGTATGAATCCATCCGTAGCCACAGCATTACCTTCATCAGAGCAACAGCGAAGCTGATGGCCTTTGAAAGATTGTCAAATGTTTAAAAACCTGTTGGCATCCTTGATAACCTTGTATCTGTGCAGGTTTTGGTAATTCTAGTTAATGGCCTTTGAAAGATTTTAAACACTTTGAAAGTGTTTAAAAACCTGTTGGCGTCCTTGATAACCTTGTATCTGTGCAGGTTTTGGTAATTCTAGTTGTTACACAGTCACCACACAAAGCTACACGTTTATTGTACAAGTAACATTTTCACTCAGATTAGAAAGTGATGTCGTTGTTGCTTCTTTGTTTCATTTTCAGTCTGTGCTCACCAGATTTTTCAGGAAAGGCCGGTTTATTGTCATTATTTTTTTCCCTTTAATTGTAAGAGGACACTTAAGTAAGTAACACTTTGGGAAGCAAGAAAGGAATGAAAGAAATGCTAAAAGCAACTGCACACTTTCCTTAAAGTTAAAATACCTGCCGTTTTATCCCAAGATTTCAGAAGTAGGAAGCGAAACTTAAATTATTCTGTCCAGTACTTAACTCCTGTGGTGAGTTTCCCTGCAGACTCTCGGGTGGTGTCTCACTGAGCTCTCTGCTGTCCCTCAGAGCTGCGTTGCTGCTTTCCTGGACGTGGTGATCGACGGGCGCGCGGTGGAGACTCCCCCGATGTCGGCCGTGAACCTGCTGGAGGGGCTGAGCCGCACCGTGGTGTACATGACCTACAGCCAGCTCACTGCCCTGGTAATGCTGCTGCTCCTGCTGAGGGTCCTGTGCCTGTGCCCACCTCGGCACGAGCAGGCTGTGCCCATGCTCCACCTCGGCAGGAGCAGGCTGTGCCTGTGTCCACCTTGGCAGGAGCAGGCTGTGCCTGTGCCCACCTTGGCAGGAGCAGGCTGTGCCTGTGCTCCTTACCGAATGTCTGTCTGTGTTTAGGTGGGCTTCATGCGGAACGTGATGTCGAGCGATCAGCTTAAGGAAGATCGGATGGCTTTGGAAAACTTGCTGGCGAATTTACCCCAGAACAAGCCAGGGAAAAGCAGCAGCCTTGAAATGACTCCGTACAACACCCCCCAGCTTTCTCCTGCAACCACTCCAGCCAACAAAAAGAACCGACTGCCCATAGGTAAGGAGAGCCCCTGGTTTCTGACACCTCGGGCATCCTGTGCTGTCTTCTCAGTCACCTCTTGGGCTTACTCTTCACCTACACCTCCAGTTCCTACTTTTTCTAGGTGTGTAGGTGGTGAAGAATTTTTTTTAAACCCAGGTAACTTCCTTAGTGTCTAATGCAAGTGTGGTGAATGACCTTCATCCCTCCAGCCTGAACTGGGGAAAATTTCTGGAGTGGTTGGTAGTTGTAATGGTGGTGCTTGGCAGTGACAGTAGAGGGGAGGTTTGAAGGTGGGAAGCAGATCTAGGGGGAAAATTGCTTAGGAAAGTAGTAAGATGGAAGCAGAGGCATTTAATTAGTGGGACAGAATAAGTTTAATATTTTTGTTAGAGAACAAATGGACAGGAGGGTGAACAAGCAGGACTTCAGAGTATGTGCTGAGAAGAGAAGGTTTGTCCTTTCTCCATTCCTTGCCTGCTCTAATTCCAACTGTCCGTTTTCTGGAATGCAATTTTAGGTTGGTTGGATTTTGTTTTTTGAGTAGGATTTCCGGATCTAGATTTTTTCCATATTAATAATACTTTATTTTAAAATGAGAAGGGTGGTACTCTTCTTCAGTGTATGTTTATGTGAATATGACCATGTGGGATATTTTTGTTTGAGAGATTTGGTGTTGGTGTGTAAAAGGACAAAAACATACAGAGGCCAGTAAGTGGCAAGAAAACACAAAAATCCACCCCCAAAACAAACCTGTTGGTTTAACTCTGCTTTTGCATGGTTCTGGTTTTACACCTCTATAGTAGTGGCACTTCACAGCATTTCTTTTATGGTATAAAATAGCTTTTGCTCAAAGTTTTTGTTTCTTTTGTTTCATTTTAATGCTTTCGAACTCCAGGACAGCAGCTGGCAGCGATTACTGCCTGGGACACCTCTGCTACCAATCTGTCAGCTCACATAACTCTAGTAACCCCTTTTGGTGGGTAATGCCCTCTTTCCATTCTTCTGTGAAGCTTTGACTCGTGTCACATAACTCAGCATGCCTTTGGGCCATCATCTCCCTTGGCATTTTGTGTACATGTGGGTTTTAAAAACCCCTCTGTCAGATAATCAGAATTTGGCTGCCACTTCTGCGCACTTGCCTTGTTTTCCTTGGGTCAAATAAAAAAGTAATTGGTGTCATGCTGCCATTCTTAGAAACCTTAATTTCATGTGGGTGTTTTTACTTCCATGGAGCCACATGTGGGAATCTGAGGCCGGTTGAAAAGGGAACATAAGAGTGGAAAAGTAATCAGAGCAAACCACCTGATGTTGTATTGTGTGTCTGGGTTTGAGACACCTGTTAGAATAAGATTTCCTACTTCTTAGGAGAAAAAGCCTTTTAAACAAATTAATTAGAGTTTTAAACCACAGAAACCTAGACCTTTTTTTAGTAACAAACTGAATTTTCTCATATAACGTATAAAAGGTCTTTCTGTGATTGGAATAGGCTGAATTGCTATTGGCAAACAGTGTACCTTGTTTTTCTGCTTCTCAGCTTTTATGTTGAAAGTTTCCTTTTCCACAGGGCAGTACTCAAGTTTAAACATCAGTTCTATCTCTCAAAAGTTTAATAACACTTTGATTTTGAAAATTTATTTCATGTGTATTGCTAATTAAAATACTACAGTTCTGTATTTCCATTGTATTGTCTGTTTTTCCTCCTTAAACAAAAGCAAAAGCTTTCTGATGTGGGTATTTTGAAATATTTTCTTAGCCACTCGAAGCAGAAGTAGATCAAACATGCTGATGGACCAGCACGGAGATCATGAAGGATCCTCCCAGGAGACTATTCCAGAAGTGCAGCCAGAAGAAGTGCTGGTGATTTCCTTGGGGACAGGTCCACAGATTACTCCAGGAATGATGTCAGAAAATGAGGTATCCAGAAACCATGACATCTCAGATGTTTTGAGCCGTGCAGCCTCTGTCTTCTCTAATAGCACAGCAGTGAGGGTACAGAGCTAAGTTTTGGTAATAAAGCTGGAATGGGAATTTAAACCCTTGCTCTGTGTTATGAGCTTGGGGGTTGTAGCTTTCAAAATGGCCTTTGGTGGGCTTGTTCCCTCACTTAAGAAGCTTCAGAGCAAACCTGGGCTCTTGTTTCTGAGCATTCAGGACTGCTGTGCCTCTGCATGCCTGTCCTTTGGGTCCAGGGACACGGGTGAGTGGCAGAACTGGAGCACTGGTCCTGATGCTTTTGGCAGCTCATGGCACAGGCCCAGCAGAGCTCACAGTGCCCTCAGTGCCTGCAGACTGTTCCTGGAGCAGGCCTGGTGTTCCAGCCTTTTCCTTCTCCAGCTGTAGCACAGCTGCTGCTTCCAGCTTTGCTCCCTGCCTGCTGGTTGGGATTATCTCCTCTGGCAGCCTTGTGCAGATCCTTTCCTTTCTTTTCTGCTCTGGGGGGTGATGAGGGAGCTGTGGCTCCCTTGTTACCAGGACATTCCTAATGTCCATGGGCTGGTTCCTTGCTTTCTCCCCAGGCTCTGACTTGGGAGGTTGCTGTCTTTTTTCTAACAGAATGTTAGAAATTTGATTGTCCCATTAACAATACAAAACCACGTCTCCAATTTTTATTTGCTCTTTAATTATCTGAAAAGCAGATGATTTTAATGAAGCCTTGTTTCTTTCTCCCACCCTCCAGGTGTTAAATATGCAGCTTGCAGATGGTGGGCAGGGAGATGTCCCCATTGATGAGAACAAGCTCCATGGTAAACCTGACAAAACCCTGCGCTTTTCCCTCTGCAGTGATAATCTGGAAGGAATATCTGAAGGTGAAGGGCTGCTTAAGTCTTGAAGAAGTTTTGTTGCTCTGTTGGGTTTTTTCCCCTCTTAACTGTAAAAGGAAGGCGTGTTAAATACAGCATCTTGGCTTTGCTGTTTTGGAGACTGCTATTTCACTCTGAGACCCTGTCTTCTTTCTTAGTTGTTCAGAGAACAAAGCCTGGAGCTAAATTTTGACCTACAAAGGCAAAACTGAATCTGAGAGTTGGGAAGAAAAAGACTAAGTGTGTTTAAAAAGAGAAAATGGGGGTTTTTTGTTTATTTTTGTTTTAAACTTAAGTGCAGTACTAGTTATGAAGATAATCTAACTTAGTTCTAAACTTGGACGTCTCAGACTTATTCTTCATCATGTTCTAATTAGCTGTTACATATCTCAGGATAGTTTCTATTCCCAGAATAGTTTCTGCACAACTCCTTTATATGAACCTCAGACATAACAAAGCACAGATGTCTGTGGGATGGTAGAGGTTCAGACACATCACTTCATTATTTTGTATAACTTCCATAACTTCATTTTTGCTGTCTCCTCAAAATAAGAAAACAAATTCATGAGCAAGTAAATAAGTTAAAAACAAAGACTTTATTGGCTTTTAAGTTCCAGCTAAGTACAGTAGTGGTGAGATTCAATATTTTGTGTTGGAACTACTGCTTCATTCCTTCTCATTTTTTTAGCGAGTTTTGCGTCCTGAATCGTTAATGCTGTATATTTATATGTTACTCAAATTGGTTCTAAAGTAAGATCTGTTTCCACAGGCCCTTCCAATCGCTCCAACTCCGTGTCCTCCCTGGACCTGGAGGGGGAGTCGGTGTCGGAGCTGGGCGCGGGCCCCTCCGGCAGCAACGGCGTGGAGGCTCTGCAGCTGCTGGAGCACGAGCAAGGCAGGTGCCCGTTCTCCTCCCAGTGCCTGAGCTGCTGGAGAGGATAAAGCCAAAGTCTCCGTGGAAAGAGGTTGCAAAATTGACTAATTCAAGGGAAAAAAAAGTCGACATTTTCCTTGTGCAATCGCTCTTGTATTTATTTGCGCTTTTGGTTTGGTGTTTTTCTTCCACCCCAAGAAGTATTCTTTGTCGTCTGTTGTTAGGAAAAGAAAGTCACCTGGAATTTTGAGACTTAAGTCCTTTATAGGAAACTGTAAAGTTTTGCTTGATATCAGGCTGTTCCCTTCAGGAATAGGGTGATCTGGATTGGAGTAGTCTGGAAGTATCTGGATAATTTTCTCTATAATGTCCATTTGTCAAGCACTGAACAGGTTGCCCGGAGGTTGTGGTGTCTCCAGCTTAGAGATGCTCAAAATATGACTGGACATGATCATGAACAGCGTGGTGTCCTTGACCAGGGCAGGGAGTTTGGGTTGGAATGATCCCTGGAGGCCTCAGCTTTTCTGTGATCCTGTTCCTCTACAGAAATTGTATCAGTGTCTTTGTAGCACTACCTTGGCATTTATTTTTTCTGTCAATTTATTTGATAGCTTACCATGTGTACTTCCAGATTTTTCTTCTTATGTCTCAAATGTTTTTTCAGGCAGCATTTCCTGAGTAGTGTAATGGTGCTTTACAGGCCTTCCTTCAAACCACTGCCTTACCTGAGAGAATTAGGGAGGCTGTTTGTTTGGGATTTTTTTTCCTAATGTACTCTTACAGGCTTTCAATCTGAAACAATTGGAGAAGCCTTTCAGAAAACCAAGAACTGTTTTTGTTTCCACAGCCACAACTCAGGATAACCTGGATGACAAGCTCCGTAAGTTTGAAATCCGTGACATGATGGGTTTGACTGATGACAGAGACATCTCAGAGACTGTCAGTGAAACCTGGAGCACAGATGTCTTGGGAAGTGACTTCGACCCCAACATCGACGAGGACCGGCTGCAGGAAATCGCAGGTAACGGGTGTGCTCTGGGTAGGTCCTGTGCTGCTCTGGACCCGAGGCTGCAGAGCCTTCCTCCTCCTCCTCCTCCCTTCCTCAACAGGGGCATTTCCACAGATTCAACTGGAGATTTGCTCTAGGAGGATTTTTGTGTGCATGACCTGGACTGTACTTAGTTACTGGTTTCTTTTCAACGTTGTGTTTCCTGATTGCTTTCTCAAGGACACTTAAGAGGTGTTCTTCCTCTTCTCTCTAGAGCTGACTCCCCAAGCCCAGCTCTAGCCATACGCTCCGGCTTTACTTTTGCAGGTGCAGCTGCAGAGAACATGCTAGGCAGCTTGCTGTGTTTGCCAGGTTCAGGATCCGTGTTGCTTGATCCCTGCACAGGTTCAACCATATCAGAAACCACAAGTGAGGCGTGGAGTGTGGAAGTATTACCAAGTGATTCAGGTCAGAATCGGGCAGTTTTTGCGTATTTCTTTAGCATGATTCTAAGACTCTTCCAGAGGCATAGAATGCAAAACAGCAGCCTCTTCCTCTTCCTCTTTTTTCAAGAAATTACTGTCCTAGGTTAAGTTAGTTTTTGCGAATACTTCCAGGATTAAAAGGACAAAATGCTCCTAGGCAGAAAGAAGATGAAAAGCATTGGGAGAGACTTCTGTTACTTAAGAAATACTTAAGGTTTGAAGGGGAAGAGAAGGGTTTCCAAAGCAAACTTGTGCTTGTTTTTTCCTTCCCTGTGGTAGGAGCAATCCAGGACCATGGTTTACTTTGGTTAGTGAGGATGTGACTGTATCCTATTGTCTAAAAAATACAACAATTAAAACAGTGAACACTCCTTAGCATGCCTGTGCAGACAGAGCATTGCTGTCTGTGCAGAGTCCTGCCTTCTGTACCAAATATAAGAAAACTCTTGTTGAAGTGGTTCAGTTCCCTTAAAACTTGATACACTAAATCACCCCCCACCCCCTCCTTCTGCTTGTGAATGTGTAGGGAGCATGGCATTGAGTAATGATACTTTCTCTGTGTGCTGTCCATTGTCTCCCTTTTGTAGAGGCTCCAGATTTAAAACAGGAGGAAAGACTGCAAGAGCTGGAGAGCTGCTCTGGGCTGGGCAGCACGTCTGATGACACAGATGTGAGGGAGGTCAGCTCTCGGCCCAGCACGCCCGGCCTGAGCGTTGTGTCAGGTGTGTGCACCTGTGTGTGACAGAGCTGCTCCATCACAGCATGGGCAGCACTCACTTTGCTGCAGTGCTTTATTTATGCATCACTTCACTCATAAAATAACTTCCTGCGAAGCTGTGATTCTTTGTTCACCTCCCAGAAGAAATAAAAAAGGCAGCAGAGAGGTGGATGCCCTGTGCTGCAATAGCAGTGGTTAGCAGAGGAGTGTTGCTTTGAAAGAAACTCCAAACTTTCTTGCATTTAAAACTACTTGTTTCGTTTAAATAAATCATAGCTCTAGTTCTTAATTTTTTTGCAAAGTATGTAAGAGTGAAGTGTCTTTCTAATGCCTCTTGTCAGAGTGTATTCATGGCTATGGTCACACTTCTGAAGATGTAGAGCAAAAATAAACTGTTATTTTATGAGTATAGAAATTTGTAATGTCTGTAGGTGCTACTGTGAGTTGGAACTTGATTACTCACTGTCCACCAAACATTTTAACAGCCTCAGGCTTTTGCTTCCTTGTTCTTTGAAAGACTATTACAGATGCTTCTTTTGTTATGTGTAAGGTATTAGTGCAACATCTGAAGATATTCCTAACAAGATTGAGGATCTCAGGTCTGAATGTAGCTCTGACTTTGGGGGCAAAGATTCTGTGACAAGTCCTGACATGGATGAAACAGCCCATGGTAAGTTCCTGATCTGGAATCTCTGATAAAAACAAGTGACATTTATGGAATCCTTAAATTTTACAATTTCTTCCCAGTTTCAAAGTGCTAGTGATTAAGCATAATTATTTTCCTTATTTGCCAGTACTGTATTTGTTTGACAAAGAGGCTCCAGTGCTTTGCTGTACTACAGCTTGAGCTCTAGATCGAAGATCCCTAATTCAGTTTGCATTGACTGTCCTCTTGCTTTTTGGAACTGGGCTGCTCCTCAAGAATTTTTTGTGATGTAACTCTTTGATCATTTCAAGGTACTGCAGAGATCTTTCCTACAGGAATATCTTTACAAATACTTTGCAGTCTAAGTTTTGTAAACTTTTGTTGCTGAAGTCTGTCTTTCCAGTGTCTCTCATGTTGGAGGCAGCTTTGGTATGGCACTAGCTTTGTTCTCTCTGTATTTCAGGAGCCAGTCAGTTGACATCTCCTCCTTCTCAAACAGATTCTTTGCTTGCATTGTTTGACCCTCTGTCCTCAAATGAGGGTGAGTTATACAGATTAAGCTTTGTTTTAAAAAAGGCATTTTCAATGCTTCTATGTCAGTACCAGGTAACCAGGTAATTTGGACTAATATTAAGAGAAATATGTGTGGCTTCTTTTCTGCTTGTGACCACAGGTGTGTCAGCTGTAGTGAGGCCTAAAGTGCACTATGCAAGACCCTCTCACCCACCCCCAGATCCCCCCATCCTGGAAGGAGCCGTGGGAGGTAACGAGGCGCGACTGCCGAGCTTTGGGTCGCACGCTCTGATCCCGACAGACCTGGAAGCCTTCAAGCAGAGGCACTCCTACCCGGAGAGGCTGGTCCGCAGCAGGAGCTCGGACATAGTGCCCTCGGTGCGGAGGCCCATGAGCGATCCTGGCTGGAACAGACGTGCTGGGAACGAGGACAGGGAGCTGCCCGTGGCCTCCGGCGGCGCCGGGGCAGCCGCGCTGGCCTCTCAGTCGTCGTCTTCATCTCCCAGCAAGGACTCCTCCAGGGGAGAGGTGAAGCTTTATTTAGCATTTTGGTTTTGTCTCTGATGCCCGCTTTAACTAGGCACCTGATGCCAGGAAGTTGGAATGAAGTGTCTTTAGCTAAGGAGTTACAACACACTTTTGTCACCCTTAAACGTTGGCCAGTTTTAGAAGATAAAGCTGCAGATGTTCAGAGTGGCTTAAATGGAGCTGGCTTTTCTTAAGTTTACTGGATGAGGTTTACTGGTGGTAAAACTTCAGAAACAGATTCATTGTAGTGTTAAATTGCTGCAGCAGCCTGAAAATTAATTTTATTTAAAAAGAAATAAGTGAAATCTAATGTTCTTTGTGGCTGTGGGTTTGCATTTGCAGGATGTCTTCATTAGGAGAGATATTTCTGACTTAATCTGCTCTTTGTGTTCTGCTGTAGTTCTGTTTTTACAGAACTTCTCAGTGTAGCAAAAGCTGATGTGAAGGAGAAATCTTCTCCTTACACTTGATTTGGTAAATGCTCAAATGTAGACTCTGCCCTTCTGCAGATTGAGGAACGGAAAGACAGTGATGATGAGAAGTCTGACAGGAACAAGCCCTGGTGGAGGAAACGTTTTGTGTCTGCCATGCCCAAAGGTAGGATTGTGTCTCTCTGGGTTTGGTACTTCAGTCAGAGCTCACACTGCCTTTATTATCTCTTTATGGTTAAAGTGTAAATAAATATTTAAATAAAAATGGGAAGCTACCTGACTCCCTTGGCTAGTAGCTCCCTAGAGTGTGCTGTGCCTGCAAGGCCAAGCTGTTCTGCCTGACCTCGTGTGTGTTAAGGGTGGAGCTGGCTGTGGTGGTGGCAGTACAGTTCTGCTCTACCCCATGGATAAGCTGATGCTTTTATGGAAGTTGATTTGATGAAAATGTTCTGCATTAGCCCCTTCCTTAAACTTTCTGCGATTTGGCCATTATCTCAGAGTAGTCTTTGATGAGGTACCTTGCATTTTCAGCTCCTATTCCATTTAGGAAGAAAGAAAAACAAGAAAAAGACAAAGATGACATGGTGCCTGACAGATACGCAACGCTGCAAGGTATGTGAATAACATCATCACAGTAATTTTCTCTCAGAGTGTGCCTCCTGGAGCTCCAGAGTGCCCACCAGGTAGCACTGACAGACAGGTACATGCTGTTGTAGCTCGTGTTCAGAACTGACATTTTGAATAAGAAAATGGATAAAGATTTCCTGACTTGAAGGCTGTTTTTAAGTTGTCACATGTCTGTCTGTGCCTGTAGTGGATTCTCAACTCAAGTCCTCACTTTCCTCCTGCCCTCATTATAGAGCTCCTGTCCTTGTCACAGCTGAGCTGTAAGGATAGCTGTACACACAGTCCTGTAATAGTTTCTTAAGTGTTAAATTAAACATAGTGTGAACCTGGGTGTTACGTTTTCTGTTTGCCTGATCCTTTCTTGAAGTCTTCAAATACCATTTATACTGCATACTGTGTATGCCATATAAATGTGCTGAGGGTCTGCTCAGGATCTGACTTCATTTGTTCACTTTGATTGTACTGTTTGTTTTCTGATTTACTTCAGACTTTACTAATACATTTGAATTTGGGCTGCACAGGACACAAGCACCTCTTTGTTTGATCTGGCTAAAAACAGAGTCCAAATGTGTAGGCTGAATTTTTTTTATTTGCTTTCAGTTGGCCCAACAGCAGGGTAACTCCTGTTGTTTTTTGTGGTCCTTTCAGATGATCCCAGCCCGAGGCTGAGTGCACAGGCACAAGCTGCTGAGGACATTCTGGACAAATACAGGAATGCAATCAAGAGAACGAGTCCCAGTGAAGGAGCCATCGTGAACTACGACAGTGCAGGTGAGAGCCTGGCTTCTTTAATCACCACCAACATAGCTCCTGCTCCTCAGAGATAAACACACTTCAGTGTTCAGGGTTAGGATTAGCAGCTGCACAATGTGAGCTCTAAACAAGGAATGTTTTGTCAAATAAGCTGTGGGACAGTCCCTCAGAGGCTGGGAATTAAATCAGTATTCCCAAGGACAGCTCTTTTGTATTGCCATTGAGGGAGCTGGGTGTTGATCTCCTACCAGTTTGTTGTTTTGTTTTAAATGGCACTGAAGTGTTGACTTCCAAAACTTTTGCAGTTTCTTCTTAGGAGCTTCTAGGTTGTATGTTTTAATGTGCATTTTTTCATGTATCCAGAACAAGCTGGTTTATTTGCTGTCTCCATTCCCTCCCCGACCTTAGAATAACAAGCACAAAATTAGTCTGGTTTCTTCCTCTGACTCCTCTCTTGAGGTGCAATGTGCTTTTCATTTCCACAGAGGCAATTGGGGATGGTGAGAGCATGCATGACTCCCCACGGGATGAGGCTTTGCAGAACATGTCTGCAGATGACCTCCCAGACTCTGCAAGTCAAGTAGCACAGCCACAAGGTTCTGCTTTCTCCTACAGGTAAAGACATTTGCAGGTTTCATCTTACCCACAAAGTAGAATTAAAAGCTGAAGCTGTGTGACTGGTTCCCACAAGAATATTAATACGGTTTCATTGTGAACTTTGATGTGCTTTAAGTATCTCAAACTGTCATATTTCCACTGGTGGAGGGCTGTTTGTAACCAGAGAGGACAGAGCAATTCAGTGTTTAAGAAAATCCCTTTGAAAATGGTGCTGTATCAAAAGAACTCATATTCTAAAGTCTTGACAATGCTGTATATTAAAATTATGTTAAATAACTTCTAGGTAGTATTAAACAAAAAAGAAAGTAAAGATTTCTTATTGAAGAAGCAGACCTCTCATCAACTGTGTTAAGAAAATATTTTTCCTCTTTAAGGGATGCAAAGAAGAAATTGAGATTGGCTCTTTGTTCAGCAGATTCTGTTGCCCTCCCGATGCTGACACACTCAACAAGGAATGGTCTCCCAGACCACACAGACCCTGAAGGTACAGGCCCTTTGCTCTGTGTGTGTCTCTCCTTGTCCCCCTGTAATGGCACTTGTACTGCACCATTTATGGTCCCTTCTCTTTGCCATAAATATCGAGGGCACGGGCTGCCTTTTGCCCCCAGAATGTTTTCATTCTTACTCCACAGACAAACTGCCATCTCAGCCTGCTCTATGATTTTTTTGTAGTGAAGTATCACAGATACTGTGCAGGTAGAGCCTGGAGCTATAGAATAGACTCTGAAAATACATGTGCTGTTTGGAGTTGTGCCACTGAATGATTTACTGGGTCTTTATGTTGACTTAGTATAAATGTGTTGTGTTGTATCCTTTCATTCACTCTAGGTTTATTTGCAGACAGGTGAATATGTCACCTTATGGGGTCCTCTTCACATTTCAGAATGGTTCTAAATGCTAGATAAGATAGTGATATGGAGGCTTATCCTCTGATAGCTAGAAAATTCAAAAAGGATTCTTGCACTGTTCTAAAATAACATTTTTTCCTTAATGTACAGAAGTTTTGTTTTAAACCATTAATGCGTCTCCCATATTCAAAGATAGTTTATTTTCATCATGCCTATATTCTTAAACTGTTCTAAAATAACATTTTTTTCTTTAATGTACAGAAGTTTTGTTTTAAACCATTAATGCGTCTCCCATATTCGAAGATAGTTTATTTTCATCATGCCTACGTTTCTTAACCTTTTTTTTTTTTCTTTATTAGATAATGAAATTGTGTGCTTCTTGAAAGTTCAGCTGGCTGAAGCCATCAACCTGCAGGACAAGAACCTGATGGCGCAGCTGCAGGAGACGATGCGCTGCGTCAGCCGCTTCGACAACCGCACGTGCCGCAAGCTGCTGGCCTCCATCGCCGAGGACTACAGGTACCTCGTGCAGTGCCTCCTCAGCACTGGGCTCCCACATTCTCCCTTTGTTCACCAGCAGATTGGGAAGATCCCTTTTGGTTTAAATTGTGCTTTACCAAACCAGGTTATTGCGTCTCTGCTTCCCCACAAAATCGCCTCACCCGTGCGAGGCAAACTCCCGAATTCGGGCGTTGTTGTGTTTTAAAAGCAGCACGTGGAAGGATCCTTTGCACTCTGACTCAGCAGTTTGGAAAGCTGTTACCTCTGTCTTTGTTGTGGGTCTGATGCAGGGCTCTTTGCTTTAGGAAAAGAGCTCCGTATATCGCGTATTTAACGCGCTGTCGCCAAGGCCTGCAGACGACGCAGGCGCACCTGGAGAGGCTCCTGCAGAGAGTGCTGCGAGATAAAGAAGTGGCCAACAGATACTTCACTACAGTCTGTGTGAGGTTACTGCTGGAGAGCAAGGAAAAGAAAATAAGGGAGTTCATTCAAGGTAAGATTAATGCAGACCAGAGTTTTTATATTCCTTTGCTCTGTATTTGGATGATGACTTGGGTTAATCTTTTAAAGTATGGCTTTTGATCTGAGGAGTAGATTCCTAAAATTATTTCAATTTCAGATGGTGAATTAATGGCTAAACAGACAGATTACTGTGACTTTACAGGATGTTGTGGCATCTAAGCTATGGTAATTGTCTGCATTTTTCATGGGCTGAGAGAATGAAGGTAATTTGACCTTACTTGGCCAAAAAAATTATGCTAAATCACATTATCTGCCCCGTGGCAGAAGCATGAATACTATTAATTATTTTATATATACTGATATATGATAAACTAAGTTGCAGCATTCAGTTCTTAGTCCAGAACCTATGGCTGTACCTTAGAAGATATTTGGGATAGTAACAATGTGAATCAAGTGAATCAAAGATTCAAAAATATCACAGCACAAGAGACAGTGGCACCAGGAAACTCAAAACAGCCACTTATACCAAACTGCTTCTCTGTTCTCTGTGCACATGTCTGACTAAGTGAAGCACATGAGGAATTTGGAGTCAGTTCTTGCTCCTGGAGCATACTATTTGGGATAGTAACAATGTGAATCAAGTGAATCAAAGATTCAAAAATATCACAGCACAAGAGACAGTGGCCCCAGGAAACTCAAAACAGCCACTTAGACCAAACTGGTTCTCTGTGCACATGTCTGACAAAGTGAAGCACATGAGGAATTTGGAGTCAGTTCTTGCTCCTGGAGCATACAGCGCTGCACATTAAACGTGCCTGAAAAACTTACCAGAAAAAATATTTTTTTACTTAAGCAAATATTCCTTCTCTTCCTCCTTTTTTTGTCAGATTTCCAGAAACTCACGGCAGCCGATGATAAAACGGCCCAAGTGGAGGATTTTCTGCAGTTCCTGTACGGGGCCATGGCTCAGGATGCCATCTGGCAGAACGCCAGCGAGGAGCAGCTCCAGGACGCGCAGCTGGCCATAGAGCGCAGCGTGATGAATCGCATTTTCAAACTCGCCTTCTACCCCAACCAGGACGGCGACATTTTGCGTGACCAGTAAGTGAATGGAATTCAAAGACTTGTTTTCTCTTTTGCGGTTGGTGCTGTGGAAGATGTGCAGCCCTCCTTGTGGGGTCTGCTGTTCTGTGTCTCTGCCCCGACACGGAGAGAGGTGGTTCTGGGCGGCCGCGATTGCCAAGGATGAGTCTGGACTCTTAGATTTTCAGTCTTCAGTTTTGTTTATTATGCCACAGGCTTGTCTGAGTCAGCCACACAAATGCATGTTTTCGTTCAGAACATTTTGTGAAAGAACGAGGAAGGGCTTTAGCATCATGTGCAAATGTGTTAGAAACAAGCTGCTAGAACAGAAAAAAAAGCGTTGTAAGTGTGATGATTTGGGGTACAGGCTGTCAGGTCTGCAAGTGTGTGTGCTGAGAGAATGATCAAAACCTGGTTCAGGACTGGACCTGGTCCATTTTCTGGTTTCACTCAGTATTTTCCATGCATTTGGGGTTCCTGTGGATTAGAACAGATGCTGTTAGGATGCTCCAGAGGACATGTGGTTGTTCTTGGCTGCACAGAACAATCCTCTGCATCTTGACTGAACTGATGTCCATCATCTGTAGGGCCACATTCCTGAAGATCTTTCTTGTCCTATCAAACATGAAGCAAGTTTCCTCAGCTGGCTGGCTGCTGCTTACTTTTCACTCTCGTTTTTTGTTTCAGGGTCCTTCACGAGCACATACAGAGGTTATCCAAAGTAGTGACTGCAAACCACAAGGCGCTGCAGATACCTGAGGTAACAACTCTTTTCCTTTGCTTTTGTATGGGTGTTGGGGTTTGGACAGGGAGTGGGATGGGGAGAGGATTGTTCTGTTTTACACTTAGAAGGGTTGCTTTGCTGCCTGTGACAGATGAAATATCCTTCAGGAAAATACACTGTAGCCATGCTGTGGCTGTACCCAGCTGCAGCTTCTCTGGGCACCCTGTGCCAGGGCCTCTCCATCCTCACAGGGAAGAATTTTTTCCATATATCTAACTTAAATCTCCCCTCTTTCAGTCTGCCATTTAAATGAAAGCTTCCCATTTCCCCCAGAGGAGCCTGTGGTGCTGCTCTGCTCCAGCAGTGGCCTGCCCAGCGAGCACTTTTGGTTTTTCCCCCAGGTGTATCTGCGGGAGGCGCCGTGGCCGTCGGCGCAGTCCGAGATCCGCACCATCAGCGCTTACAAAACCCCCCGGGACAAGGTGCAGTGCATCCTGAGGATGTGCTCCACCATCATGAACCTGCTCAGCCTGGCCAACGAGGATTCGGTACCTGGGGCAGATGATTTTGTTCCTGTTCTGGTCTTTGTCCTCATAAAGGTGAGTTCTTTTGCAGAGATCACAAACCCCGGTTAATTCCTGTATTAAACAAGCAAATTTAGGAGGAGGGATAATGCCTGTGGGTCACAGGGAGCTGGCCAGGATCAAACCCAATCTGATTCAGCAGGGCTTGAATAGGGATGTCAGAAATGTGGTCAGAGTTATGTTTTTGAATCCAAGCAAACTTTGCATTTGGAACCAGTAAAATTGGGGTGCAGATGCTGTGTGTGGAGTGGAGTTTGTTTGAGGTATGTCCACCAGCATCTGTCACCTGTGCCTGCTTCATGCTGTCGTCAGGACCAAGGTGCAGACCAGGACTGACTTGGGTTGTGTTGCTGGTCCTTTTTGACACGAGTGGAGGATGGTCTGACGTGTGAGATGCTGAAACAACAGGCTTTACATGTGTTGAGGTCCTGATGACCTTCACAGATTGTGGCAGCGTTCCCCTTCTTTCTCTTGACCTGCTAGTCATTTTTCCTTGTTGGAAAAATGTTCCTTTCATCAAACCTGATGCCTTCTGAGCGTGTGAAGTGGGGCTGCTGAGGATAAACAGTCCCTACCCTGCAGGCAGGTTACATACTCTGTAGGATGAGGATCACTGCACAAAGGGAATTGTGTTTCTGTTCTGTATCTGGCGGTGTTTGTTGATGTTGGGCTTTGCAAACAAGCTGTGTCTCTCTCTTCTCCTCCCCCAGGCAAACCCCCCTTGCCTGCTGTCCACTGTGCAGTACATCAGCAGTTTCTATGCCAACTGTTTGTCTGGAGAGGAGTCGTACTGGTGGATGCAGTTCACGGCAGCCGTGGAGTTCATCAAAACCATCGACGACCGCAAGTAGCTCGCGCAGCACAGGCAGACTGAGAGCAGGAGGGGAGCTCCTAAGAATGTACAACAGCTGCAAAAGCTGAAGAAAAGACTTTCCTTGTAAAATACTGTACAGAATTGAGGCATTTTAAAACACACCTTTACTAATCTAATTAATTTAACGGATTCTCCTCTTCTCTTTGGGTTGCGTTTTCCTCCCCTCTAGATACTGGCACTGCAAAAGGGACCACAGTTTTCAGGTATTTTGGAATCTCAAAACATTCAGAAAAGTCTTCATGCTTTCTCCACCACCCCTCTTCCCGAATTCTTATTCACGTGAATCATTCACTTCATTTAATTTCTAATGAAAAACTGAAACAAGAGGAAACAGGGCAGCCACGTAGTAAACTTTCTAGTTGAATACACCTTTTATTAAGAAAACACCAGCCACACTGAAAGTTTGTAGTAGCTGACATCAGTCATTGGTTGTATTTCACCTAAATTTAAAATCTGAGAGGACAGTGTAAATATTATATAACTATATTTAATGCATTGCAAGTATCTTTGGACTTACTATCCTTTGAATAAACAAGCAGAAGCCTCTCTGACCTCTAACAGGTTGTGACCTACCATGTTTGGGTGACAAAAGGACTTCCTCAAAAGGCTAAGATTTAAAAAGGGCAAACTGAACTATTTATTAAGATGTAATTACTGAAATTTCTAAAACTGGAATTTATAATAGGGCTTATTAGCTAGCTGAACACTTCTTGGCTAGGGCATTAGGGTGTTCCAGAGGTTTGGATATATAGAGGAGAGGGACTGTAAGTTACAATAGAAAAGTCTAATATAAAAAGGAGAAATAAAATACCTTACTGTAATATTTTTTCTGAGCTATTGTGTATACTGTACAAACCCCAAACAGAGATCCTTAACAGAACCTTGGGCTGTAATATATATTTTGATTAGTGACATTAAATACATATGCCAGGGGGTTCAGTGAATGTTTTTACTAAATGTTCTTCGTGTTGTCTGCTATGCAGCAGTGCAAGTTTTACTGTTCATAAAAAATATTTTAAAATAATATAACACTGTTCTTTATGAAACATATCATGACATCAGTTCAGGGTGTTTTATAGATTTCTCACCCCGCCTTCCCCTTAAACTGACCCTTATCAATTTAAGGAGGTTTTTATGCACAACACCACATGGGTTTTTCATGAGTGAGGTGGTCTGGGGCATGGCCAGCAGGTGTTGGCTGTACTCTCTGCCCTTTTTCAGCTTCAATACAGTGAAAAGGGACAGCGAGCACTGAGCTTTCTCATGTCAGTATTATTTCTTGCTCTTTCCAGAGTGTTCATTGCACTTCTGACAGAGGGATGTGGTAAGACTTGGTGTCTGTGAGTGGTAAAGAAAACAAAATCTTTCTCACGTTCTTTTAAAAACACAATTGGTTCATTTTGCGTGTGTGTGTGCATTTTGATGATTAAAACCTGTAAGCAACTAGTACTTGAGAAAATCATGTGGTCAATTGGAATTAGAGCAATTTATGTAAAGTGTTGAGTGCTTGATTTGGCTGTGCTACTTGTCAAGGCATAATCAGGAAACTCACTTTTTAGGGCTCTCAGATATAACTCAATTGAGCAGTTTCGCCAATCTGATCACAGGTGAGAAGGTGGGATGGTAACCTTTTCCTTTTCTCTGTAGTCTTTCTCCTCTTGATTGCGTGGAGGAGCAATACTCAGTCAAACCAGAATTCTTCTGATCTGCCTTACTCGGTGTCTCAGTCTGTGTAGCATTGCAATATTCTGGTTATTTAGCCTTGATGGGTTTTTGGTGCTGAACATGTAATTCAATATTGCAAGCACAGCCCTGCAGCAAAGCACAAACATGCCCTTGAAGATATGGCCAGATCATATCAAAAAGCAATATAAATTCATTTCTATCGAAGTGTCCTGTAACACGTAATTATTACTTGAATATCCGAGGTGTTAAGACTGATGTGTGGGAGTTCTGCAGTTTGGGTGTTGGTTGAGGAGAGTGTTTGTGGGGTCCCTGAAGGAGGCACAAGGACACAGGAGGTGGTGATCAGCCTGTGTGCTGGCCTGGCTCAGGGTTTGGTCAGCACCATCAGGGCTTTCAGCTTCACTCTCCTTTGTGGAAGGGGCAAGAACCATTTCCTTCACAGCTTTTATCACTTAGTTTCTCTGCATGGAAAAATACTTAAAAGAACGGGAGTCTTTTTTTAAATGTTAATTATTTTAAAACCAGTAGGTGTTCCGGTGAGCCCCAGGTGAGCTGAAGAGTTTTTGTAGCAAGATGGTCCTTTGCTTCTTTTTTCCAGCCTACTTTGAAGGTCCTTTATTAGTCTTGATAGGAGTAGTTAGAGAATTAGGCTTTCCAAAGAATTAAAAACCTGCCTGTAATGTCCTTTTACTGTTTTCCCCTGCATCCCGTGATGTTTTGTTTTAAAATGCTGAATTCCATGTCTAGGAAGTGGTGTTGTTAGGTTTGATGTGCAATAGCCAAGGTGAGAAGACACTGCATAAAGGACCAAAAGTAGCAGAACTGCTGCCAAAAGGTGCCAGCCACGGGCCTGTTGCTGTAATCTCGGTGCTTTCTGTGAATTGAGCTCCTGGAGCCCCTGGAGGGGAGGAATGGAGCATTTTGGGCAGGGTGGAGCAGGGGAGGCTCCTTGGTACCAGCTCACAGCGTGGGCTTCAGGCTGGGCTGTTGTCTCAGCGCTGATCTTGGCACGTTCTGAGGAGCTGCCACGATGTCTGTGCCTGGGAATGCTGCAGAGGTGCTGGTTTCCTTTTTGGGTAGAGGAGGGAAAGGAAAGGGCTGGGGTTTTCATCTCTAGGAGATCCCTTTGTGCTCCTAAGTGAGATTTCTCTTGAAACCTTTTTAAAATCCTCTTTAAGGAGAGTCAGAATGTGTCTGGCCTATCAAGGATTTGAGTTTAAAAGTTTTTGTTTTGGAGACCTTTTACTACCAAATGCTGAATGTAACTGCCATAAACTTCAGGAAAAAAAGCCACGAACATGATGCTGTTTCCTGTGGGTGAGTCTGGTGAGCACAGTGTTGGTTTGTATTGCTTGGAAATGTTCTGTTAAGCCAAATTCTCACAGAATTGGGGAACTCACTGCCGTGGGAATGGGGTGGGGGAAGGGGGCAGGAGAGGGGCAGAGCTGCTGGCAGCAGAGCTGTGTGTTGGCACGAGTGAGCCAGTGTGCCTGGGGAGCTGGAGCAGCCAGGGCAGTGGGGACAGGGGGGAAGGATGCTCGTGTCTGGGTACAGCTGGGGACGTGGTTGAGCCTGTACTACTTGAGAATTAACCTCTGCTCAGTTAGTAGCGTGTGTTCTGTACCTTTTAATTGTGCTTTACCTCTATTGAAAAGCTTTGTACTGCCTCTCCTCTTTGGTAAAGCCTTTATAAATCTAAATTAACGAGCTTGCACAATCTTGTATACAGGAACCCCATCTTGTCTCTTAACGTGATTATTAATGTATTATTCTGTAAAAACTGATTAAAAGGAGAGCAGTTTAACCGCCTGGCTTTGACGTTTCTGCCTTGTTCCAGTGCCATCAGCAGGGGTGGCCGTGCAAGTGTGAGCACTTCCCACTAACTCTGTGTGGTTTGCACTGGGCATTGCTGCTCTGCCATCCTCACTCAACACAGGGGAGGGACACTGGCAAAAAGGAACCAAAATCCAGTAAAGGGGAGAGGAAGCTGCTGCACTGACTGCTTAACAGAGCTCTTCAGTTATAATTTTGGATCTGCAGCTTGGCTGTTGTGGTAGCTTGGGAGGAGAGAAGCAGCTCAGCCTGCAGCAGGATGCGCCTGTCCCTCTGCTGGCTGCTCTTTGATGCCTTGTTGAGAGTGGTCAAGTCCAAAAGTATTATGTTTGGCGTCTCTTTTCTTAGGAAATGTTCATTTTTTTTTGCTGAGACAGGAGCATTTCTCCAGCTGGCACTCACCCCCTCCCGGGCGGGGCCGGGCGGGGCCGTGAGCTTGGTCCCCGCAGCGTTATTGACCTTGATTCTCTCTCATTTGCATCCAGCATTTTTCATCCTCTGGAATATGGTGTTTGGGGACCTTTCCATCATTAAGTGGATTTACAGCAATTTCCTTATGTGTTTTCTCCAAGGGATTCTGTTATGAGAGGCACATTAAATCTCCATTAATACCTCATTATCCGACTGATAAGATTACCATGATAATGAGGCAGAAATTCTAATTGTTTCACTTCTTATTGTGCCTTTCATTAAATCATATACCTGGAAGTTGCTGTCAGAGTGGGGATCTCCAGCCTGCAGAGCCTGGGAGGTGACCTGGTCCTGTGCATCCTGGTTCTGTCCCATTGGACTCGAGGGATCCTGGGGTGTGCTGGCCTTTTCTCCTGGGCTCCTGTGCCTCCTGCCACGGCCTCCCCTCCACGGCCGGGCTACCAGAAGGGCTTCCAGTGGCCCAGGGCCCTTGGCAGCCTGCACTGGGAGCGTGGATTTGGAGAGACTGTTCCACGCGGCCCCGTGAGCTGCCTGCTCCCGAGGGAGGTTAAGCACAGGGGTGTGCAGCCTCTGTCGGAGCTGTTACAGCCCATCAGGTCAATGATCCATGAACTAAAAAGTCTCTAAGAAAGAGCAATTATTGTCTATCATGTGTCAAAGGCGCTCGTATTGACCCCGGGAGATGGAGCCATTATGGCCTGTTGAGGCAGCGATCCATGAACTCCATCCATGGGAGCTCCGGACACACCACGAGGTGAGGGGGCTGGGGGGCAGCTCTGGGGGTGCTGCCAGCTCTGGCTCCTGCCATGGGCAGCCCAGCCAGCCCGAGGTGGGGAATGGGCCCCAGGGAATGTCCCCAGCTCCTGCTCCCCTGGAGCCTGCGCAGGGATTCCCTGTGACCAGCAGGACAGCCATCCTCGCCAGGAAACCCCACGGAGCCCTGCCTGGCACTGGCACAGCCTGGAGCCAGCAGGGCCCCCCTGCCCTCAGCCTGCTCCCCTGGCCCAGCTCATGGGGCACAGGAGCCCGCGGAGGATGGCAGCCCTGTCCCTGCCCGTTCCTCGGTGGGTGACACCCCTGTCCCTGTTGGGTCCCTCGGTGGGTGACACCCCTGTCCCTGCTGGGGTCCCTCGGTGGGTGACACCCCTGTCCCCATTGGGTTCCTCGGTGGGTGACACCCCTGTCCCTGCTGGGGTCCCTCGGTGGATGGCACCCCTGTCCCTGCTGGGGTCCCTCGGTGGGTGACACCCCTGTCCCTGCCCAGTCCCGTGGTGGATGGCACCCTGTCCCTGTTGGGTCCCGCGGTGGATGGCACCCTGTCCCTGCCCGGTCCCTCGGTGGGTGACACCCCTGTCCCTGCTGGGGTCCCTCGGTGGGTGCCACTCCTGTCCGTGCTGGGGTCCCTCGGTGGGTGACACCCCTGCCCCCCCTGTCCCTGCTGGGGTCCCTCGGTGGATGGCACCCCTGTCCCTGCTGGGGTCCCTCGGTGGGTGACACCCCTGTCCCTGCCCAGTCCCGTGGTGGATGGCACCCTGTCCCTGTTGGGTCCCGCGGTGGATGGCACCCTGTCCCTGCCCGGTCCCTCGGTGGGTGACACCCCTGTCCCTGCTGGGGTCCCTCGGTGGGTGGCACCCCTGTCCCAGCCGGGGTCCCCGCTCCCCCCGGTCCCGCGGGAGCCCCGGCGCTGGCTCTGGAGCCGGGCAGGGCCGGGCGCTGTCCCGCACGGGGCTCAGGCTCCTCCCGCACTCGGGAGGAGATGTCTCCATAGTAACTGGCACGTTTGGAGGGCAGCGGGCGCAGGGGAGCGGAGACAAAGCCTGTGCGGGAGCGACCCTCGGCGAGGGCGATGCCACCCGGGCCCGCTGTCCCCGCTGCTCCGTGCGGTGGCACCGCCACGGCAGCGTCCCCTGCCCGCGGGGCGGTGTCACCCTGTGCCAGGGGTGGCTTTTGGCACCAGCCCGCAGAGCCGGAGCCGGGCTCGCTGCGGCACCTGGGCCGGGCAGGTGCGGAGCGGGCACTGCCCACCCTGCCAGCCCCGGCGCAGAGCCGCGCTCAGCCCCGAGCCAGCAGAGCCGTTGGGCTGGGGTTAATCAACATTCATTCATGTTTCCAAGTGGAAATTGAGCATTTGTTTAATTATGTGTAAGCAGCAATACATTCTGGCCATTATCTAAATCACTATTTTATTTCCTGGATGTGGTTTCATAATGCTGGGTTTGTGCTCCAGCCTCTGCATCATTAACAGAGAAGAGTTAATGAATATAAAAGCGTAAAGGCTAATTACACTTTAATTTACAATCATGGTCTCATTTTGGGACCACATGAAATCTGTTTTGAAAACAATTAAAACAAAACAAAAAAAGCCCAGTGAAGGTCTGGAGAGCGGCGGGGTTTTGGCACGGAGCGGTGCCGGCGGTCACCGGGGGAGCCGGGGCTGCCGGGGCCGGGGCTGCCCGGGCGGGTCCCTCGCCGTCCCCCGGCCCCTCGGGGTGATGACC